GGGAGAGAGGGAAGTGAAGCAGGCATGGGCGGTGTTTGGAAGGGATGGTTTCCTTCTCTGGGGAAGTCTTGGCAGACAGCACAGCCCCAAGGGCCCAGGAGGGCCCTGCCAGGAGATGGGGGGTAGGCCAGATGAGGGCAAGTAAGTGGGGGGGTAGGGCCTGCATACCTTGATGTTCTACAGTGTATATACAGCTAGCCACAGTTTTGTGGGATTCAAGGCAAGAGATCTGAGCTACCAGGATCACATGTCTTGGTCAGAATGTCATTCAATCTCCCACCTAGCATAGGAACAACCTCTATGGCCTCTTAGAACATTACAAAGATGCAATTATTACTATTTCTCTGTAATATAGGATTATGGTTTAGGGTCTGATGAAAGCCCAGGCTGTTTGACCTGTATTATTTAGTCCTGATGCAGTCCATTTTAAGTTTTCTAACCAGATTGCTGGGCTTCAGATTCTAATTCTAGCACTTACTGGCTGTGTGACTCTGAACAAGTTACTTAACCTCTCTGTTACTTTCCCTTGTAAAAAGCAGATAGTATAAGTTTCTAATGCACAGGATTGTTGTGGGATTATGTTAATTAATAATTGTAAAATGGCTGAAATAGTGCCTGTCACAGAGTAGCTGCCTAGAAAGGTAAGCCCCTGAGATCCCTGAGTCACCCCTTTATTTTCACAAAAGAGGGAACTGAGGCCAAGCCATGGGGCAAGCAGATAGTGAGGACTGGACTGGACTGGAGTCTGAGCTAATGCTGTTCCGTATTCCACTCTACCTCCTTGCTCTCTAAGGCTAAGGAAACCTTCCAAACAGGAGTGTTGTGAGCTAAGCGGTGCCTAAGAAAAGAATGTTTGTGGGAGTCAGCATATTACCACCTGGCAGACCTGCCTGGGCTGGAGCAGAGCCTCCCCACTCAGTGGACGAGGGACAGGAAGGATCAAAGTTACAGCTGGTATTATGGGCTTTGCACAAACATTGCCTCACCTTCTTCTCCTCATACTCCATGTTGTCCTTTCTGAACAAAGAGGAGACTGAGACTCGAAGAGCCCAAAGCTGCATGACGGTGACGGTGAATCAGGACTGTAATCCAGACCCCCTGCCTCCCTACCCACAGCGCTTTCAGCCTTCTTCCCAAACATATCGGCTTGCTGGCCTCTGGCTGTCCTGTTTGCTATCAAAACCAGGAGCTGGTCCACCTGCTCAAGCCCAGTCACCCCCTTCCCCCCACAAAGCCTTGGAAGCTCAGGCCTAGGGGTTTACTGCTCACATCCTAAAAGGATATAAACATCTGTAGCCTTCAGTCACCCCCACAATTGCCTATGCATGTTAGATGCGGCTAATAAAAACAATGTTACTTATTCTGTTTTAGGTTCTATGCTACCTTCTTTTTTAATATAATGATATTTGTCATTAATTGAATTATTTTACATTGCACCAGACACAGCATAATCCAAACCAGGCCAGGAGCTGTGGGCCTGTATTACAGAACCCACCCCATGAGAGGCAGCTGACAGGCCATTATTCTGTGTCCTGTAAACTCTGTGCAGTGATAAGGAAACTCCACCAATTTGATGCTTTATCTGGTTGCAGGTTGAGGAAAGATATTATTTCAATCAAGATAATGATTCTATTTCTTGAACAGAAATGAGATTTTTTTTTCATTGCCTCATGGGGGTGCCACCAAAATCTGTCTTGGGGCTGGAACAGGTCATGAACAAGTTGGAAGATTTCCTTGTAACCTCCAAGAAAGAGTGTAAACATGAAGGAGAATGGGAAGAAGGGAGCTTGCTTGCAAGAGAAAAACATATCTTCCAGGCCTACAAGATTACAAAATAAGCTCAATTTGGAAAATGTATACAGGCATTGAACAAAGCCTTCAAGACCAAACTTCAGAAGTTAAGTGCCCAGTGTGAGCCCCGCCGCCTGGATTTCAAGTGAGGTAAATGGCCTATAAAGGCCATCATGATACCGAAGATGTACAGAGGCGACTCAGCTATGACAGGACCTTAGATGTCTTCTAAGCCTGCTGTCAGGCAGGGTGGATCAGCTGTGTAACTGTGCTGACAGATGACCTAGCTACTGTTTCAGCCCCTTCTACCAGAGGGGACTTACCACCAAAAGAACCCATTCTGTCTTGGACCAGATCCTGTGTTGAGAAAGTACCTCCAAATCCTAGTCAAATCATTTCATAAAAGGAAACCACAGTGAAAACTCACATGGTGCTGACAATTCGGGAAATCTAAGTGCACTTTGGAAACAATATATATTTCAGTAAGTCATTAAATAATATGCAAATCACCTCAGGTAACACATGCAAGGAGACCTCAATCATTTGCACTAAATAGTGAAGTTAGTGACATTTTAAGTTATTTTAAATATTTGGGAATTCCAGGGGCTGTCGTGCAGTTCCTCAAACTGTAATTTGCTTTAAATAATAATTATTATTTGCAATTAGAAGTAAAAATAATTTACAATTCTCATATCAATTGTTTATATAGCAACTCTAAAGAGTTTGAAAACGTTTGTAAAGTTCTTATGCATTTTAAACACTCCACTGAGAAAACCAGACTTTGGCACTCATTTCCATTTTAATACCTATACTCCCAAAATACAACCTTACTGCAATGAGAATTACTGCCAGGTCAGTGAAAATGACATTTGGCTGTCTTTACAATGGTGGCATCGCAGGCATGAGAATAAATGCAATTGATGCCCTGCCCAGGTCTCTGTACCTGCTGGGGGTACCCACTCCCCAGCTGCTGAGCGTAGCACACAGTTTTCACTCATGACATTCTTGGGTCCTTGTTCTTGGTTGAGGTGATGCCTTGGAGGCAGGACGACCAGCAACACTCTGGGGAAGCTCCTGACCAAATAAGGGGATGCACAAGCCCTGTCCCCAGCCTCCAAGTCAGACATCACTGCAGTGCAGCTGACATGGACCAGATCCAAGGAGACCTGCCCTGAGACCACATTCTCACTCAGCTCCTGCTTCTCCATCCTGCTTCCCTCCCTCCTTGACAAGCGTTTCCTGAGAGCTTTCCCAGGCTGCATCACATGCCACTGACACCTGTCTCAGGCTCTGCTTCTAGCAAGCCCAACCTAAGTCAGTTGCCAGTAGCACAAATGAAACCCTCCAGCATCTTTTCAGAGGGTTGTCCCAGGAGCTACAAGCCCCAGGTGCCTTCCTCCTTGAAGGCACCTTAACCACCTTCCTGCCTTACTGAAGACCACCAGTCTGACATCATACAGCCCACAAGAGCCAGCAATAGCAAAACACGAACATCCAGAACAAACAGGGTTCCGACAACCAGACCTCGTGGAACAGCACAACAATTACTCTTCTTCCCCAGGATGAATAAGCAGGAGGCAGGGGCTGAGCCAAAAAGGCCTGTTGCATCATCAGAGCGATGTCCGGTTATGTGCAGCGGAGTCAGTGTGAACTTCTTAGGTAACTCTACCACTTACTAGCAGAGCAGACTAGAGCAAATATTGAATGGTTCTGGGCTTCAGTTTCTTCATCTGCAAAATGGGAATACCTGACAGAGCCTTTGTAAAGCACCTCTGAGGTAATACCATCAAGTGTGCTGTGAACTGGTCATGCTATGTGCATACTGGCTGTTGTGATGGAGATTTAGAACTAGCTACTTCTCCTGCTTGCTTGGAACATATATTAATTAATCATCATTAAATAAATAAGTCCCAGCCACCCCTCATCCTGAGCACAGTATTCAGAGCTCCCTGTGTGAGAAACGGCTCTGGGAAAAAGCAGGTGGGTCGTTGGGAGTGCTGTACTGGTGACTGTCCACCAGGAGCTCAGAATGTGACCCAATTACGGGCCTCACAAGGCTCTGGTAGCCCTTGACTACAGCTGTCTGGAGAAGGTTCCCCTCTCTCTGTCATTCTGTTTCTCTTTGTGTCTCCCTCACTCTCTCTGAGACAAAGGGAAGATTTCCAATGTAAATTTCCTGTAATCTACTCAGTGTATAGACTGATCTCAAATACAACCTCAAGTTGGGTGAAAAATTCAGGCAGCCATTTTCATGTCATGTAGTAGCTGACAAACTGGCCGAAACTAAATTTTATTAACATAGATGAAGAATCCTTTATTCCACCCTGATTCTTTGCATCTGGACCATTCCTGAAGTCATGCCAAACCCTCCAGCACCTGGCCGTGTCCAACCTCACCAGCATCTTCTCCCCTCCTGCCCTCAGACCCATGCCTATGCCATCCTCCCCATGGGCATGTGCCCTGTTCCTTCCTCCCTGCAATGGCTTCCCTTCTCCATCAGCCCAGTTCAGACCTCTCCTTCTCCAGGAAGTCTTCCCTAACCATTTCCCATCCCTAGCATTTCTGCCCAGGCCATGCCAGCCAGAGCTGGTGCATACACCTTGTCATAAAGTTCTTTGTCTCATGTGCAGGTGTCTTCTCTTCCTACACTGGACTAAAAGCTGCTCCAAAACAGAGCCTATGCCTGCTCCTTCTCGTGGATTTCCCAGAGCCTCTGTGATGCCTGGCACCTGGTGATTAATAACATTCTCAGATGGATTAATAGATTGGTTCCTGTGATTGCACTTAGTTTAACTCATTGTTAAACGGCCTCTATGAGAATTTACTGTTCTGAATAGGGGGTCAACCTAGCAGGAAACTTAGAATTGTACAAACTGTTTGTGGACCCAAATAAAAAAAAATGCACATCTCTCTTTTTTCTAGAGGAGTCCTCCTCTCCTACACAGCAATCAAGTCAAGGGAGTGACTGTTTCATGAGCCAGTAGGAACATTCTCCTCTTAGAGGGCAGAGCCAGGGTTCAAACTACCCTCCTTCAACTCAATGCCTTACATTCCTGGGTTCAGCCCCACCCTGAGGGAGGAACCCTCCAGAAGAAGAACGAAAAGCCGATCCCATCCAGGTCATGTTATTTTCCCCTAACGGGGAAATCCACCCACTTCCCAGGAACATTGTTAAGCCACAGAACTAAAAAAGCAAAATTCATACTCACAAGCACCGATGCCTTAGTCTTAAATTTCAGGACACCAGTTTTTCTGCAAATCTGCTCATTTCCTGCAAAGAGAAGAAAGGGACAGAGAATCATATTAGCATCTGCTCTGGGTATCCTCAGCGGTTTCCTGGCTGACCTCAGGCTTCTGAACCTTCTCTGTGTTCTCATTCCCCGCAGTGCTTTCCCCTCCCTCTGCACACCGCGTGCTAGTTGGGTGGGCGCCCCTCGCTCCTCGCAGGATCCCACCCCTCCAGGCCCATGGGCTTGGCCCACGCTGCCTCCCTCTCCCTCCCCGGCGCTGTGCCAGTCTCAGATTGACCACTGCCTCCAATTCCCTGAAGGCGCCCTGGCTTCTTCCCACTCCGGAGTGAGGCCTCCACTTCTGTAGCATGGGGTTGCCTAGCAACCCTGCGCGTGCAGCTCGGAAGGCCTTCCTAAATTGGACCTCACTGCACAGGGCATCTCCTTGTACAGCTGCCTGCATCTTAACAATCTGGCTCTGAATAATAACACAATGGTAATTGCATTCATGGACCCCAAACTACATTTAAATAATGTTCAAGAGCTGACACAAACCAACAAAGGCCAGAAAATGCATCGTGGAGGTTGACTGTAAGGCCAGGCAGGAACGTTTGGGGGGAGAGAGACTTGACACCAAAGACTTGAGTTAATGACAACGCTAACCTGAACTGTGAATTCTCCTGCATTTCGCCTGAGTGTGTCACCGCTGTAATGCGTTGTAATGTGAGTCTGGGCAATTAATGCCCAGAGGCAGTGATGTTTCAAGACAGGATGCCCTTTAGTTCTGCTGATGCATACGTGGATATTTGGAGGGAGTAGGGAAGTAGGAAGATCCTTAGACAGGAAGAGAGACTACTCGTGAGTGACTTTACTTGGCTTTTACAATCGTGGCTAAATACATTTTCGAAGGTGGGGGAAAGAACTGACCAAGCAAGAGGACAAAGCATTTGCTACCTCAGCGAGGGACAAATTCGACATGACTGATGCACTTCAGGATAAGAAGTGAAGGCAAAGAGGCCTTGACACTGGCTGAAGCACAGACTGAGCAGCTTAGCTCGGAATGGGGAAAGGCAGTGGGTGCGAGAGGCCAGCTTCGATCTGTGTCCCTGGCAGAGGGTACTGTGCAGCTCTGCTTGAGGGAGGGGGGTCTCAGCACGCGGGCAGTGGCAAGCTGGCAAGCTGTTCCTTGTGGAGCTACAGCAGCGAGGGCCGGCAGATCAGCCCACAGCATTTGAAAGCTGGAAGCACTTTTTTTTTTTTAAAGCTCAATCCTCCTGCAAGGCTCTGGGGCAGATATCTGTACATCCACATTCATAGCAGCATTGTTCACAACAGCCAAAAGGCGGAGGCAACCCAAATGTCCATTGGGAGAGGAATGGATAAACAAACATGGTATATACATACAGCAGAATTTTATTTAGCCTTAAAGTGGAAGGGAATTCAGATACACACTACAGCATGGATGAACCTCCAGAACATCATGCTAAGTGAAATAAGCCAGTCACAAAAGACAAATACTGTATGATTCCACTTATATGAGTTACCTAGAGAAGTCAAATCCATAAAGACAGGAAGTAAAATGGCAGTTGCCAGGGGCTGGGTGGGGAGAGGAGAATGAGTAGTTATTGCTTAATGGGGACAGAGTTTCGTTTGAGAAGATGAAGAAGTTCTAGGATGGATGGTGGTAATGATTGCACAACAGTGTGAATGCACTTAATGTCAGTGAATTACACACTTAACAGATGGTTAAAATAAAAATCCCCCTGCAACAATAGCACAGCATACACCTCCACACTGTTTCTCTGGAAGACTTCTGTCCATCTTCATGTTAGAAGTCAGAGTGACCTGTGTCATTCACAAGCTGACAAGGAGACTCACTAGGACCCAAGGATGTATATACTGAACAGTGTGATGGCCAGGAAGCCTGTATTGGTATGTTCTCACACTGCTCATAAAGACAGACCCGAGACTGGGTAATTTATAAAGGAGAGAGGTTTAACTGACTCACAGTGCTGCATGGCTGGAGAGGCCTCAGGAAACTTACAATCGTGGTGGAAGGGGAAGCAAACATGTCCTTCTTCACATAGTGGCAGCAAGGAGAAGTGTAGAGCAAAGAGGAGGAAAAGCCCCTTATAAAACCATCAGATCTCATGAGAACTCACCTGCCACCACAAGAATGATATGGGGGAAATCAGCCCCATAGTTCAATTATCTCCCACTGGGTCCCTCCCAAAGAACATGGAAATTATGGGGGTTACAATTCAAGATGAGATTTCAGTGGGGAAAGCCAAATTATATCAGAGCCCATGGCTCATAAGCATGATGTTTGTGCAATGTGGCTTCAGACAGAGGGGTCTGAGCACTGAGAGACATGATTCTCCTGTTCCTGCCTCTTGAAGTCAAACCATCATCACCTTCCAGAGCTCAGCCTCCTTCCACTTAACCAGACCTATCCCTGTGTCCCCTGCCTGCTCTCTCCACCAGGAACCTGGACTCCTATGACACTCTCATTGTTACCCTTTGTTCACTTCATGCCCCCGGTCTAGAAAGCCCCTTCCTATGCCCAGCATCTGACCTAATCTTACTCTTTATACTGGGTCCACATCAAAGTCCACCTCCCTCATTAAGCCTCCAGATCCCTCCCACTTGTACTTTCTCTAAATGCCGCAGCCGGTAATCAGTCACTTGCTTACGTACCATCTTATGTTCCTGTCTGAAAATCTGGCCTCTCCTAATAAGTCCCTGAAATGAACCCTGAGCAACGATTATTGCTAACATTTTTTGTCTACCACAGGCTCTACCTCAGGGCTGAGTACACCATGGCTGCCGGATTGCCTTGCCTCCTTTCTCAGGGAATTCTAACCATAGCTCCCCTGCCCAGGGCACAAAGCATGACTGCTGGCTGCAGAGCCCTGGAGCTAAATATTCCAGGCAGATGTTCAGTTTCTTCCAGTCACTTAGAGGTATAACTCAATATGTGCAATAAACAATTGAGCATTTACAGATTTTATTAATTCGGAAAGGTCATTAGAGCTAACAGCTTCTCCAAGTGAGAGTGAATAAATAGCACGGGTAATTTTTTTCTATGTCCTGGATTTTTTTTTCTTGGATTGTACTTTAAGCTTCAAAAAATAATGTTAAAATTAAAAAAGAAGAAAAACTTCAGGCCTGGGAGATAGGAGGAGACTGACAGCAGCTCTGAATAAGCCTCATCCCTCTGTCTTCCCATCTGCAAAACAAGGGAGTAGTCTCAGAGGTTCTTCCAACTTAGAAAAAGAAAATTATGATTCGATTTTAAGAATATGAAATTAGCTAGTGACCTTCCAAGTTAGCAGTGACTGCCTCTCCCCCACCCAACCTTTCAGGTGCCCCTCACCTCTGGACAGATACAGCACGAGTTCACGCCTCTGCAGCCAGAACAAGGTTCTTAATCATTTCAGGTGCCTTCCCAGGCCCTGACCTGGGTGCTCTCAAACCCGACTACGTGGCTTGCCTTGCTCTCATTAGATCATTAAGGAATACTCAAGACTAATGACTTGTTTTCTTCAATCTCCAAAAATGGCTGGAAAAGGGCAGGAGGGCATCATCCAAGCTCTGTCTCTCCAGTCTCTGGCTCGGTGACCAGCCGGTGCTGTCTGTCAGGGGCTGGCCTCTGCGAGACAGATGCTCCTGGCTCTTCCCGAAGGTGAGAAACAGAAGCAGCATTCAGGGAGTAGAGTGGAGGGGCTCTGGCTCAAGCCTGCTGTTGTGGGGAAGAAACGCACCCTGGCCAGAGGGTTGTGGGCCAAGGCTTTTCCCGACATCCCTTTCTCTCCCTGTCATCAATCCTTCTCTCTGCCTTGGGTGTGGGAAGACTCTGGGAAGGTAGGAGTGCAGTATCTGTCTGTGAATGTGTGGCCACAAACACTCATGCCCCTACACTCATCTTCCACCTGCTGGAAGATGAGCACATGGCCGCCTTGAAGTGAGTGGCTGTGGCTGAGAGGACGGCCAGGTCATGGGCCCTGTGGCAGAGTCTGTAGCTCCCAGGAGGCCATAATGCCTGGTGGTTCAGAGCCAGCCTTGCCCTGCCATTGACCAGCTGTGTGACATTGGGTGAGTGACTTAACTTCTCTCTGCATCAGATTTTTACCAGCAAAAGAGGCATAATAATGCAACCTACTTCCTACTTCACAAGGTTGAAGCAATAATTAAGTAAGAGAACAAGGAGAGACACTTGGTGCAGGACCTCATCTGGGGCCAGCAAGGCTGGCTTTTCCCTGGGAGGTGAGCTACATGGTGGCAGGTAAGGACACTGAGCACTAAGCTTGCTGTTCAGTCCTCAGTGCCTCGCATGGGGCTGGCACATACACGAGAGCTGACCGCGTTCCTGGGGAAAGTATTTCTGGGGCTAGCAGGAGCCCAGCGCTTGGTGAGAAGAGGCCTGCTGTGCTGAGCTTTCAGAGCAGGCGGGCCAGCCTCCATCCTGAGAGGCCTCCCTAGGTCAGCAGAGAGTCTGCAGTGACGGGGAGGCAGTAGATGCTCCACCCAGGATCCTTCAGAGGCTCTCTGTGATGAGTTGCGGTTTGCTTTATCACCAATATTAACATCAACCACCCTGGGAAGGCAAAACGGTGTAGCCACTGTGGAAGACGGTTTGGCAGTTCTCTACGAAGCTAAACGCAAGCTTACATAGACTTCAGCAGTCACACTCTCAGGCATTTACCAAGCAATCCGAAAACTTATATCCCCACGAACACCTGCATACAAATGTTTATAGCAGCTTTATTCTTAATTGCCAATGACCAGAAGGAACCAGGCTGTCCTTCAGTAGCTGAGTGGATAAATAAATGGTGGAACATCCAGACAACAGAATATAATTCAGCAATAAAAAGAAAGGAGCTATCAAGCCACAGAAAGACATGGAGGAAACTTAAACTCATATTACTAAAGAACATGAAAGCAAGTGAAAGAAGGCACTTCAAAAGGCTACATACCGTCTGATTCCAACTATATGACATTCTGGGAAAGGCACAAGTATGGCAACAGTAAAAAGATCAGT